TAAGGAAAAGGATAAAACATTCAATCAGACCATCCCTATCTGTACAGAAACACTGTTTGAAGTCACCTAGGCTCAGAGGACTGTGCCAGTTTAATCTAGTTAGAGTCTCACCCTGCAAACATCATTTCCAGCCTCCCTGAACAGCTCCTGCTCTCCTGGCCAGCCCACAATTAGCAAGATCTTAGTGGGTTCAGTTAATTGCAAAACGCAGAAACTGTCAGGCCTTTCTGTAATTAGCTGTCAGGATCAAGACTGCAAATTATGTGAGAACTTAAAAAAAAAAAAAATCAGATCAATCTGTGGCAGGAGCAGCAAACCAGGAGAGCCGCAGTGAGCACAACGTCGTGTTGGTCGTAAATATTTAGTAACCGAGCAAAGTGGAGGGGGACGGGGGAGGAGATGCAGCCCCACAAAGCAGCATTTATTCCGAAGGAATAACTTAGGAGCTCTTAGGCAACAGTCAACATTGCAAAATCCACAGTCTGCCAAAAGACCCCAAGGGCTTCGTGTGCTTTCAACCTTATTTACTCTCTTGCTTTAAGTCCTTGGAGTGGAAGTTCCTTCTAGGTCTGTGCCAAACACAGCGATCCTACGGGGGCTGCGGGAATTTGTTGGAGTGTGATTTCCCCAGAAAGCAAACAAACTGTGCTATATTTGCCCTTTTCTGATCTGTTCCCACTGTATAAGTCAAATCTGAGAGGGGGTTATTGCATGCGAATAAGGCATCACTAGTGCTCCATCATCACGTAGCTTCCCTGAGCAGGAACCCTGACCTTTCTGTTCCCTCCTAACAAGGGGCTCTCCTGCGCAGTAGGAGCAGGGCTACGGGATGCTCAGAGCTCCCCTTCTCTCTGGTTTGGCATATGCCAGCCCAGCACGTGGTCACCAGCTCAGGGTGAGTCGTTCCAGCCTGTTGCTGCTGACAGTCAAAGAAGGCACCTTGCAAGAAGTGGGAAGAAACAAGGCTGATCTCATCTCCTCCCCTTAATGTATATTTAAGCCTAAATTTGCAAAGTACATTGGCTCACGCTTAATTTTAAGAGGGTGAACAACCTCTATGCCATCAACACATCTTCTGACTTTGGCTGTGAAGAGCTATCGTATCAAAATGCCCATCTTCATTTAAAATCATTAGTTGCTGATGAGAGATTGACACTCTCAAGCACACGCCAGCCCACCTTGGGTTTCTCTGCAAATAACAGTTGTAGCGCCAAACAAACCCAACCCAGCTCTGTGAGTTTTGTTGTCATCATCAGTAAATTAAAGTTTGGTTATTTGTATTTTTAGGGATAACTGGCAATGAAAATAATCCCACTGAGATATTAAAAATGGCTCAAAGACAGTGAGACCACCATAAAGTAAATCAAAGAGAAACGCTGCAGAGGTTCCAATCAGCCACCCCAAGCTTATAAAACGTTATTCACGTAGAAAGTGGACAGTTCAGCTAGTGTGAAAAGGCTATTTTTCCTTTTAATATGGTGATAGATTCTGTATGAAATCTCATGTTCATGACTGATTTAAATCTCACATAAAATGGCGGGGCCAGGGTATAACAGCTATTGATAGCAAGAGCTGAAAAACAGGTCAGGCATTTGACAATAGTTGTCTCTTTTGCCTCATTTACCAAATTCTGAACTATTTTCCTGGCAGTTCAAATTAAGGACCATTTCAAGCACTTCTGCAACTGTTTTAGAAGAGTAATAATAAATTTTAAAAAAACCCAAAGGCATTGCTTTGCAAAAGCATTCATTGTTTTCTTTTTTCTTTTTTTTTTTTTTTTTAAATCAACATCTGACATAGACACGAGATGAAACTCCACTCCACAAACACTTCAAACATGACTTGGGTAACTGCAATCCAAATCAAGGCAAGGATGGCACAATTTTCCCCCAAATGGCAAATGTCAAAGATTCAAGAATTGCATTTCAGCTTCCAGAGCTGTGAATTGTCTTTCCACAGAGATTCATATTAAGAAACCCTTCTCTCTCCCAATTTCACCTTTTTCTTTGTGACCCTGGTCTGAGTTTTACTTTGACACTAGCAAGGCCCTTTCTATTGACTTTCTTCTCCCTGGTGTGGGCACCGAGAACAGCTAATTAATGGTGATACGTCAACAGAGCAATAAACCCTTTCCAATATGTTCCCTACTTCTTTTCACTGGCAAGATCAACTTTTTTCTAAACAACAACAACAACAAAAAAGGAACAATAAAAAAACCCCTCTCGACAGATTCCCATTAACGATAAGAAATCAAGAACAAGACAGCGCTGGGATGTTATTTTACATCCTGCCTTTCATGTCAATTAGGGTTCATTGCTGTTCCCTGCTCAGGGAATACTAATACAATCTGTGCCTCCTCACTATAAATAACATATAGCCGGTACTATGGCTGAGGAGAAGGTTCTATTACTTTTTTTCATCAGGTACATCAGAACAAAATAAGAAGTGCTCAGCAGAAGCACTGCTTGGAGTCAGCCAAAGGGGTGAGCTCACATTGGCCATCTCTCGGATGTTTCGATTAATGGTTATTTATGGGTGAGGAAACTTTCAGCCCACTCCCCTAGCAAAGCTCCCTTGGGAAAAAAATATCTTTGTGACATGTTAAAAAGTGCCCCAGCCCAATGGGGAGCCCTGGAAAACTTAGGAAAACATCAGCATCCACCTACCACCAAGGGCTTGGCAGGGTGAGGGCAGGCAGAGGCCTCTGGTTTGAAAAGTTGCAAAAATAAGGGAAAGGGGTGAAAGGATGGGGTAGGAGCCGTGGCTTTCCAGGGCTAGTTACACCGTTGGGTAAAAACTGCAACTGCATGCTGTTTGGTGACCTACTTTGCTGCCTGCGAATTTATTAGCTGAAGAAATTTAATGGGCTCTCTAAAAGCAAAAGTTCATTGCAAGGAATTTGCTGGAGCCCCCTCAGTCATTTCTATGTTTCTTTTCCCAGCTGGGATGGTTCCGCTGGGTACCACCATGGGGTCAGCTCAGCTTTGCCTCCTGCTGCTTCCCATCACACCTCGGCTCCCTGGCAGGTGGGAAAGGGGCACGGTCCCCTCAGGCCTCTTGTGCTCATGGCCACCTTACAAAGGATTATAAACCCAACTTCCCAGCACTGCTGAGACCAGGGAAGTGAAGCTCAACATGTTTGTACTGTCCCTGTCAGGCTGAGGTATGATGGGCAGGGGGATATTAGGTAATGCCACACACTGGCTGCCTGCAGTCTGGGGTGCTCCATGCAGTCAAGAATGAGCTTGTGGGGTAAGAAACGTGAGAGAAAGGCAGATGCTGCTTTAACCTTGACTTTTTCTTGCTGCAGTGGAAATCTTGTGCAGCCTCTGCATGCATGAGATGCTTTATCTCTCATCAGTAAATTTTCTTTTCCTATCCTCCTCTTTTATTCTTCCTTTTTTTTTTTTTTTTAGTGACATGATAAAGGCAGGCTCTAGAAGTGTCTACAGACACCAAGGCTTTGAGCAGGAAGCCAGTGGTGCCTCCCCATCTTTTGTTACCGGAGCAGAAGGCCCTGTTTTGCATTTACACTGTGGCTTCTTCACACTGTCTCGTCAGGGAAAGGGACCTCAACCAATTTCATCCCCCTTCAAGACCCGTGTGGGTCATGCAGGAGCAATATAAAACAGCCTGACTACCAAAGAAGGCTGGGCCCTGCTTTGATCAATATTTCTCTGGCTACCCAGAGTTACTCACTGCAGGTGTCAGGGTGATCCTGTACCTCCAAAGTCATTGGGATTGTTGCTGTTCAAAGGGTGCAGGATCTAGCCCTTGCTGCCCTGCCACTGGGGCCAGCAGTGGTTTTGCAGGATGCTGATGCACCTGGGGGGGCGTGTGTCTTCTGCTCCTCTCCATCCCCGGCATCCCCATGGAGGGCCCATGGTAGGCAATCCCACTTTCCCTATGTGACAAGAACATCCCCTCCACGGCAGTGGTGGCCTCTCCCATGGGCTGTGCACTGCTGGAGTCAGCTCTCCTGAGCTGGCAGCTCCATCACCTTCCTCATTTCCAAGGCTGGCAGTCCCTGCACTATGAGGAAGGGTCTGGGAATGTGGGACAGGGATGGTGGAGAATTAGGGCAGGATTGTCTCACCCAGGGATGGCTGAAACCAGAACAAAACCAATAATTTTTGTAACTGGTCTGAACTCTCTCTGCCATAACTGGTTGTGCACTCGAAGCTTGTTAGGGCGCCTTGTGGGCAGCCAGTGGGAGGGCTCCTCCTGGACCCCTTCCTCCTGCCCAGTGTCCCCTTCTCCTGCCGCCCACCAGCCTCGGGCCCACCCATTGCCTGCACTGCAGGTGAGTTGTAGTCACTCCCTGAACCACAGGAGCAGCAGCTCCAGGCTAAGGGGCTGGTTTTGCTGGGGACTGATCCTGGTCACTCAGAGAAGCACTGTGTCCTGGGGGAGACCTCATCTCAGCACTGCTCATGGCTTGACAAAAAAGTCAGTGAGAGAGATGTCAGAAGGAGCTGAGGTCACAGGGCAGGAAAGCTGGAATTACCAATGTTCCCCAATTCCTTCAAACCCACAGGCATGGGGCTGACCACCAGAGCAGCGCGGCAGGGCTCAGCCTCTGGGAACAGACCCAAATCCGCCCTCCCCAAAACCTGCTCAATATTTGCATAGGTCCCAGCCAAACACAGGGCAGCACAAAGCCATAAATTAACTCTACGGAGATATTTCTCAGCTCCCCCTTCCAGCCAGCACACATGAGCATTTCCTTTTTTTTTTTTTTTTTTTTTTTTCTTTTTGGCAAGCCCCGGTTGACCCCAAAACCCCAGCAGCAATCTCCAGCATCGGTGGCGCTCTGTCTCCTGCATCATCCCATGCTGCATGCTTGAGAGCACAAGTGACGTGACCCCAGGAAAGGGCGAAGGGGGGGACCCCGCTTACCGCCTGCCATTCGCCGGCTGCCCAGCGGTGCGTGGGGCACGCGGGGAGGTGGCAGTCCCGCTGCGGAGGGGGCCGGCTGCCCAGGTCACACTCTGCCTCCTCGGCTGCCTTCGGGGTGCCGCCGTGGCAGTGCACGGCGCGGCGCTGGACACCCCGGCCACAGGACACCGAGCACTGGAGGAAGGGACAAAAGGTGAGTGGAGGTCCTTGTCACAGCCATCGCGGTACGTTCCCGGGGTTCGCCCTCTGCTCTGGGCTCAACGGCAGCGATAGCAACGCTCTAATCCCGGTGATTAAACTTCCAGGTGAGGCTTTTCACTGCACGAGGGAAAAATTCTGCAAGGCTGAAATCCCTGCTCCACTGAAGCCAGTGGGAAATTTTGCCGTTGGCTTCAGTGGAGTCAGGATTTCCCAGACAGGATTTTTATTGAAAAAAACCTCTGGAGATAACCGCGCTGTTAAACCATTGCAACGCGCCAGACGTGGCGAGGCTCTGCGTATTACTTCTCAGGCACTTGGCTCAAAAAAGCAATAGTTCAAATATATCAAATGCCACAAGTGTCACTGAAGTGGACTTTAATGAAAAGCAAACTCGAATTATATAGAAGAAAGCGTGTAGCACTAGAGACGTGAAGGTATGATCCAGCCGGGATTTCTTTCAGCGTGCACCTAAACTTGCACATGCACACAAGCAGGGCATACTGTTAACTTGTGAAAACAAATGCCTTTTTAAATTAACTGCATCTCACATTTCTTTGATTACACCGTAGACAAATTTCTCCCCACCTCTAGGCACAGCAAGAAAAGCCCGAATTTCTCTGTTTCTCAAACGTCTTCAATTATTTACACTACAATGCTTTTAACGGCTTGGTTTTTTCCTTTCACGAAACACTTCTTAGTGTTGTGCCTGCACCCTGTAATATGTTTAGCAGTACTTAAAGTCCCTCTGGTATGGATTCTTCCCGGCTAGATTTTAAAGTATCCTATATGGATTTGAAATAAAGAGAATTTGCATTTATAGAAGAAAACAGGTAAAAAATCAAAGGCGTGCATTTAAAACTCAGCTATTATGATTAGCATTTTGCGGAATTAAAAATTAATACAAGCAACCTTATTAAGACATCAGGGACTAAGAAAACAGGTTTAGAGCCTGTTATTGCAATACCCATAAAAGCGGGCCTTCTTAAGGCAGGGAATTAAGCGGTGTCTAACGGGGAAGCAATTCTCTCCCTCTGCAGAGTATTCCTCTGCAATGCTCTGTTTGCTTTACTATCCAAATGCCTCATAAAGCCAAGAGGACCAAAGAAAAGCTGACTGTGAATATTCACCTGGCTTCAGATATTTGTAAGAGGGTGTGTGTGTGGGGGGGTTGTGTAACTTTTGAAAGCAGCAGTGAGATTTCTGTCACCGGTGATGCAAAACCCTTCCCATATGCTGCGCCGCCTCCCTGTGATTAACAGCGCTGTTTGTCCTACACATTCCATAGGGGACAATTAAACTGAATAATGGCCACAGACTTGGAGAAACATATACACCAGGATGCATACCATGCTCTAAAAACGCCTTTTGGTTTGTATTTATCACCACCTAAAAAGCACGTGCCTGGGACTGTTTGATAAGGGAGAGCAAGCCATGCTGTGGCTCTTTCACCGGGGAGGTTGTGCTGCGTGTGGCACCCGGGCAGAGCCGGTCTGGGGAGGAGGAGGTTGGTCCCTGGGTGTGAGGGGCAAAGCAAGGCACTGTGCAAAGCCGTAGACTCATTTCACTGAGTGCCTGTGGTGAAACTTTGCTCCCCTGTAAGCCCATGAGGATAAATGTTGCACCCTGACTGAACTGGCGGGCAGACTCGCAGTGGAGGAACAAGACCGACACCCCCCCCCCAGGATCCCCCAGTCTGCCGTGTCCTAGACTATGCCTTGGCAGAGATCTGCACCCTCCTCCTACGAGCAAGCAAGCAAAGAGCTTTTCCTTGGGCTATTTACTATAGGTAGGGAAGGCTTTTCCTAGCTGAACGGGCTTCCTAAGTGCACTTGGTGGCCCAACACCCAGAGAAGCCACAATGTCATCCAGCCACAGCACGGGAGGAAGAAATACCCAGCCCTGGGGGCTGTGGTGGGGCTGACCTGGCCACTCCAAGGTGCTGCTCCTGCCCAAGCTGGGAGCCCTGCTGAGGGGGGGGGGCAACAGCTGCATCTGGCTTGGGCAAAAATTGGTGAGTTGGGGCCACGGGATTTTTCCCTGTAGATCAAGACATCTTCTGCGGAGTGCTTCCTCCCACTATGCCACAGCATCCTCATTGCTGTGGCTCTGGCTGGATTTATGGCTGGCTTCAAAATAACACCATTATGCTCTATTACAGAGGCAAGAAAAGGTGTTTTTTAACACCTATTTTAATCCCGAACATTGGTCAGCCAACCTGTGTCTACCTTGGGGGAATACAGACGGCTGACACTGCCAGAAGATAATTCAGTTTGGGGGCATCCAACTCATGCTGTACGTATGTATTCCCCTATGGGATGCCACCAGCCAGGCAGCCCGTTTGTCCTTTCTATGGAGTCTATACATTTTCCCATGAGTGCTCCTTTCTTCACTAAGAAAGTGAATCACCAAACTGCCAGCTTGGCTATGGAGAAGTTCTACCTGATGCTCCAGCTGTGTTTTTAGAGATGGCTGGATTTCAGCCTGTAGCAGAAATACGTAAATACCAGACAGCAAAATAAATATTGGCATTTTTGCTAAGTGAATGTAGATAGCCATAATTTACACCATGGTAGGAGATGCAAACACATTAAATCTGACATTTCAGTGCAGACACAAGCACATTTAAAACTCAGAGAGAAAAAAAGCTTTTTTCTTACCTTCTGATTATTACAGATATATTAAAAACGGTTTGCTTTAGGAAAGTGGATTCATAACAATCTAGAAAAGAATTACCCAGTCTCTGAATACAAAATATTCAGAGAGAAAAAAAAAATGGGAGTGGAGCACCAGTTTAGCCAGCTGCCAATTGGGAGTAATAATTAACTGTTCCTGTAATTCTTCATCCTGATTTTTTTGAATCATTCCTTTTCCCAAAAGGAAAAGAAAAAGAAACCCCACACCCTAAAGGCACATGCAACAGGTGCTGTGCATATATGGTGACAAGGAGGATGCACTTTTATGGGAAAACCTTGCCTTATTTCTCACGCAGACTTTTCCCGGTTCACCCAGAACAAAAGACAGGCAGCTCACACCAGCTCAGTTTTTGGGATTATCTTTCAGAGGCAATTAGACCTTCAGAAAGCTTTTTTTTTTTTTGATAGTATCTAAGTGCAAACTGATCCTGGCTCCTATTTTCAACAGTGGCACCAGTGATGGGGAAGGTGACACGGAGTTTCCATGTCCATTTAGATCCTGATCTACTGGGTATTCAGAGTGCCAAACCCCTGCTTGTTTCATAGCCTTAATGAGAAGTTCAGCACCTAAATTCACCTCGTCTCTAAGGCATCAAACCTTTTGCAAAGCCGTGCAAGCCCTGCACACCTCTCACAGGGACACAGGCATGGCCACGGCCACTGCTCCAAACTTCTGACAGCCCCAACTCTTCCGTCGCAGGCAAAGAAATGCTGCCAGCATGAGTGAGGATCAGGACACAAGGATGACATGTCAGAGCATTTCATGTGGCTTTAAAAAGCCCAGTTTGATAACACTGAATGAATCTTTCTACTCCTCTATTTTTATCCCAAGCAAGACGCTGGCTGGCTGAGCACATACAGCATCAGGAACCTAGGCTGAGGAGCTACCCCTGGAAATGTGCTGCTTATTCTTAGCCTTATCATTAGCATACAAATATTCCTTAATTGCCTAGTCACAAGAGATTACCTCAGGCCATAAATCACCTCATCCTCCTATTAACTTGGGTTTCTTTCTCCACTTGCATAAAAATTAACTCCAATCATGCGGTGGAATGTTGGGAATTTTTAAAACACTTACTTTTATCAATTAACATTAATGTATTTTAATGCAATCGACAGACCATTACATTATTATGTTTACAATTATTAGCTGTAAAAAATTGCTTTCAGAAGCAGTCACTTTAAATAAGGTGCAAATCGGTTATGACAAGACTATCTAATGGCTTGCCGTTTCTTTTCAGTCTAGCTTCCTGTATAAAATTGAGGTTTCAGTCCTGCAGGTAATAAAGGTAATAATACCAACTTAATTTCCTACGTGGGAGCAGTACTGAGCGTTTCACAGGGCTGCCTGGGTGCTCCCAGCCATACCTTGGATAAAAGACCGAGACCTCAGTAACTGAACCACCATGGGGATTTCACACTTAGACCTTTGCACATGTAATGGCAAATAGTCCTATCCTATAAAGCCAAAGGTAAGCATTTAAAAAAAAAAAAGTCTGAAAACAATCATAAAACATCAGTGGGTTTATTGTCTTTTTTAATAGTTGACTTTAAACAACAGTATGCTGTCCTAGTCCTAACATTCGCATGTGTGCCTGGTGCCTGTAGCAATTAATGGTTTATCTTTCAGAAAACTTGCATACAGTGAGAATGGGTGTTTTGTACCTTAATTTGGAAGAGAGACTGCAAGAGAAAGTGATGTTTTACAAGTTAACAGTTCATTTAGTCTGGGATTTTCAATAACTCTGCTGATTAGCACACTAATGAGGTAGAGGGAAAAGCGAGGTTAAGAGATAAAAATGTGATGCAGCAGATTCAAGGTGATAACAAAGACATTATTTTCAGGAAAACAAGGATTCAAGGTACGCTTTCAGCAAACAAGATGCTTAATAACTCCAAGCACTTTCACATTTCCAGCAGCCTCTGCTCTATGCATCAGTGTCTGACTTTTTAATGAAGCAAAATCAAGTGATGAGCTTGTTAAGAAACAAAAGGTAGCGAAAGGCATGTTTAATGAACAGCTATGATTGTTCTTTAGGCTTTCCCAGGAAGCTGACAATAAAATTAATTTCAGATTTCTCAAAACTAAGGTTTTGCTTGGGATGTGACATAGTTAAATAATAATGATATTAAAAACATGAATAAATAGTAGATTCTCTTTAATAATATATACTAATGCTTTTTCTACCAGGAACTTAAAATATACAAGGCATTTACTTTCAGATAGACACTAAAAGCAAGTTGCCACGTTTTCAGCCAGCACAAATCAGTGCTGCTCCACTGCTGTCCATGAAGATACACTGTTTTACCCCACCTGAAGATCTGGCCCCACACTTCTACCCTTGAAAAATTCAAGAGGACTGAAGTGATGGGAAAACAAGCTTCTAACCCATTTGACGGAGGAAGAATATCAAAGGGTGCAAAAGGGTATACAACATATCTCACCTGTCCCCAATCTCCTGCTTTCCACTTCGGACATCTGCCCCCTCTGCATTTCTTTTGCAAATTGGGCTTAGCAAGGTGCTTGCAATAATCTTCTTCTACATGCCTCCCTTCCTTTGACAAACAGTACACATTGCGGTGCTTTTGGCCCCTTCCGCAGGAGACTGAACACTGTAAATATAAAGTAACAACAGATCAGCTTTCATGCAGGGCCATCTACATGGTTATACATGGGCCATGGCTACCCAGGGCATTTTCTTTCAGCCGGACCAAAAAGCACATCTCCAGGTCTCCAGCAGCCTACACAAAGCTTGAGGGGGATACGGAAGGGCAGAATTTAATCACTGGAAAGGCACCCATTTGTGCTTAATATTGCATGATATTCTCGGTCAAAGCCCCCCAAAATGCCAACATCAAATTAGTGAAAGCAGCTGACATTCAGCAGGGATAACAGGCTGGATTCCTGGCATTGCTCCAGTGGTTTCAAAGGAGCAGAGTCATCTTACAGGATCAAGGCAGGAGCCCTCAGTATCTACTTAGAACTCAAAAGGAACCATTTCCATTTACCTTGCTACAAAGGGAGGTCAAATGTTGGTAAATCAGGAGAGTAAAGTGCGATACACACCTTCACAGAGGGAAATAACTGAACAAAGGACGAGGCAGAAGAGAAAAATGCAGATTTCCACGTCCTTGGTATTAAAGCTCATGTTTATTTTACTAGTGTAGACTGATTTACTTTTTTTTACTGAACAGACTGAAACCAGGCCATGCTCATCCTTAAGATTTATGGATTTTGAAAACAACTCAGAAGATGGCAAGAAGGCAGAGCCCAAAGAATCAAAGCAAAAAGCAAATCAGCAGGTACGTTAGCTGTAAGCTTTGTAGTGAAGCAACTAATTTCAACCTCCCTCTGCAGGTTCACTGAACTTTTTCAAATGTGACCACTTCTGGCATGCAAACCCCAAGCAACTTCACTTTGATTTCAGATTAGTCTCCTCCAAAAGATTTAGGAATCAAAGGGGTCTGGAATCACGACAAGAATTTAATATGACAGTTTCGTGTAGAACAAGCCTCTTACTCAGCATGATGCACCCAGAGACTCAGCTTCAATTTCTTCATTACATGTTATGCAAGTCAGTACATGCTACGTCACAAGCATTCTGGTTTAATCCTTGAGCACAAACACACCAGTTCAACCATCTCTCAACACAAAAAGTTCTGCTTTCCTTTCAGAACGCAGCAGACATGCAGAGATGAGGCTTCTTCCTTTGTTTTGGAGCCACTCCATAAGTATGTTTCCTAAGAAATAAATTAAAGCCCAAGCTCTTCCCAGTCTATGAATACATTTGAAACCTAAAAACCTACAATTTATACATGTAGCAGCTCTGGAAGATCCATTAGAGTAGAAATTGGCATATGCATTGGCAACTGTGATTATTTTAAATTACAGCACTCCTTGCAACTCATTCGCCCCTATTGTGTTAAGAGGGACCCAAAGAACCAGCGAGAGCAGTAACTTGCTCTGCAATGGAAAAGTTCAGACCAACGTGGAGAGGAAGGAATGTAACTCATAGGATCAGATGTTGCTGCTTAAAAGCTTGTACAAGTGATATTCTGAAAAACAGAACTTGCTCTCCTGCTGCAAGACCATTAGAGATTGACAAAAGGTAGCTGATGTCCCTTGTGACCAACAGGGACATTAATGATGCTCCTCTGAGAAAGGTGGGGAAGCCTGATGAGCCTGTGGTAGGGATGTTCACCTTGTGAGTTTTCTTGAGTCCAGCTCCAGTCTCAAGATCGGCTAAAAAACCCGACAAGCAACATTCAACCTTGCACTGAGAGAGAGAGGAAATGTTGTTCCTTGTTCTAAAATAAGACATTCATGAGTTACCCAGATTCATAAACTTAACTTTTTTTTTTCTTTAGTATCAACAGAAAAAAAGATTGAGTTAATGTTATCCTATTTTTATAAACCTTCAAATTTCATCAGAAGTTCATTTTTTCATTCTCTCTACATCTCTCCCCAGGCAATGAATGTCAGCAACAAGAAGGAAATGTCAAATCCTACCAAACCCAGTTGTAAACTTCTAATACTTTCATCCATTTGCTATCTTTGGACTAAACACCAACACAGACACTTTAGCAAAAACTCAAGTGCTCCTCAGTAAGTGCTCTCCATGCAGGTTGATCTCACTTTACTACGACAGCCAAAGCTAAAGAATAAATTCACAGACTTGATCAGGACTCTCTCTTGCCCCACATCCTGAGCTGCCAGCACAATCCAGTGCATCTGTTCTCTAATTTAAAAAATACACCAGATCCACTACTTATTCTAAGGAAGAATAAGCACAGTCTAAAGGAAGAATAACCACATTGTGCAACAATGCAAGCACGTTTCTGGGGACCTGAAATTGGTTGATAAATACGTGATGTCTCAAATAGTATGGAGCTAGTAATTTCCTAAATTGTTATCCCCCTTCCACGATTGCTTGGCTTTGGTGTGGGGCCCAATTCTAACATTCGTCTCGTCATCCCATGATCAAACCACAGGACTGCACGCATATCTTGGCGCACTCAGGGGTTAAGGCACAATTTGCCTAATTTTGTTAATACTTAAATGTAATTTCCAAGATGCTGGAATTAATCATTTCTATGTCTGTCTCTAATATAAATCCAAGTTAAGCAGCTGTGCATTTTTAGATCTAAACCACCCATTTGCTTTCATGCACATATGAGTTATGATCTCATTTGCACTGACAGAAAAGGGACATTGAATAACTTAATGTAACTATGTACCAGAGACTGAAAATTCCTTTGCAAAGAGTCTACTTCATAACTGACTTCTAATTTGTCTCAGGTATTCCCAGCTTTTATGTGGCATGTAGATTTTAAGCATATGGGAGGCACATGCAGAAAATAATTTAATAGTGGGCTTCATCTCACTGCCATGTGACTTAGGGAAGCAGCACACCTAGCTACTGCCATCAGCCTCATCATTTATTTCAGACCCTGGAGAAACTTTGCGTTTCATCAGCAGGACTCTTCATCGCTGCAAACGCTGCTGCTTGCTTAAGGTATCTATCAATCACAATGCTGTAGTGAGGTAAGCTTTGACCATGCCTTCTTTAAAACATTTGAATAGCACAGACAAAACCACTCCTTTCATATTTCTCTTTCATTTTCTCGATTTCTTTCCACTCTGTAGAAAATACTTCCAAGTACTGGGGATGGACAAGGGGCTCTCTGTGGAACAGCAGCCTCATCCAAGGCTCTTTGCAGTCAACAGAAGGACTTCTACTTGTTCTAATCACCTCTGGATCCAGCTCTGAAGGTGTAGCTAAGGTACTGTATTGACTTTTTTCCCTTTTTTCCCTTTCTAGAATCAAGGGGCACACACACCTGGGCATGCAAATGGTCAACCTACCTCTGACTCCACTCAAGTGTAGGAAAATGTTGCTCTGAAATGCTGTTTCTAGCCTGTGATTAAGGCATGACAGCAAATAGCACCCCTGGGTGAAGCCAGGAGGATAGTCAGGCATGGAGGATGGTGTAAAAACAACACATTGTGATGTTTCTTAAAAAAACCCCAAGATGATCATGGCACATAAAACAATAAAGACATACTATTTCTAAAAAATCAGCTATAGACTTTATACTAAAGACTCTAATAAACCTTCCTCTTGTTATTATCTTTATTATCTCCTAAAACCACCACAGTCACACCTGGTGCTTTATATGGAGACTAAGAACAAAAGGACTTTCCTAAGAGCATTAGGATCAAAGCATATGAGCACAGATTTAAGGGTTTTATGTTTATTGCATATGCAACATGCCAGGAACTGGTGATTGGCATGCTGTTGATTTTTTTTCAAATAAATACACTGGCTAGTTTAAATAAATGCAAGAAAAATGTTTAAATAAATACGACAAAAATATTTCCGTATCAACTGTTTCCAGAAAGGTCGGAACATGATGCTAAATCTCTCCTGCAATGCGTTGCTCTGCTCCAGCACAGCAGCAAGCTTGTGTTTTCCTTTCCACGAAAAATTTGTTTTCTGTTTCAGAGTTCAAGAATGACGAAGATTATTCTGTTTTACCAAGTACATGCAAAATGCTTTAAACTAACCCTTGCTGCATTTCCTATTCTGATATTTTGCAAGATGAGGGTACATCTTGTTTGGTAAGACCTCTCTAAAACAGAAGGCTGCTGCTTGATTCACCAGGCTGGCAGAAGGATAAAACCAGAATGTGTACCCCAAAAGCTCTTAAAAATGTCTACAAAATGGGTGCAGGAGATGGTCACTTGCTCTTCTGCAGTGGGAGCTTGTGCTGCAGCTGTGCCGCTTCCAGGCTGAGGGCTGGGAGCGAGGTCGGTCTGGCATGGAAAGGACTCAACAGTCCTGGCTATCAATGAGCAAATCCTGGTGAAAAGAAAGAGGCGGCCCAGAGCGGTCAAGAAGAAATGGAGCAACTCCACTTCTCCTTAACTTTGTGAACCGAAGGGGCAGCTCAACCCACGGCAGAAAGGCAAACCACCAGCAAGAACCCGGGGACATTCTCCCCTGAAAGCGAAAAGTTTCAGAAAATGCTGTCAGACCACTTTTCCAGGCCCCCCATGCATCAGCCGACGATTTGGGAGGTATCTGAGATAATGAATGCAAGCTGTGGTGATCACCAAATGAATTCCCAAAGATAGGTATGCTCTGATAGCTCACCAAGGGCAGGGCTGGGAAGAATTACACTAAAAATGGCTTTATCAGATTCTGCCAGGAGCAACTTTTTGGAGGAAATTAAAATCAATCCTTGTAGGTTTAGATTTCCACACATTAAGGATTATATGGAAAGTAAGCACTCCCAAGTAAGCCCTTCTTCATCATTTCCAACAATCTGAGCTGAAACATGTGCTGGATGAAATAAAGCAGAAAAACAGCAGAGCTCTACAATGCTTTAACCCCCCTTTATGTCAGGAGCTGTGCTCCTGGGTGTCAGCAAACATCTCCAAGTGTGAGCAGAACCCAACCATGCACCCTCACAGTTACATTTCAGCATCCCATTCAGTCTACATCAGCTCTTTCTATAACTTGCGCTGCTGCTATCACATTGCTGAAATCACAGCCCAGTGACTTCTGTACCCCTGAAGTCTCCTGAGCACAAAGGACATCAGAAGATGCACCACCAAGGAAAGCCTGGATCACTTCTCACCAGCTGAACCTCTACTAGAAGTCTTAAAATGCCCGAGCATCTGTGTGCTATCCAGCAACAGAGGCTCTGTGGCATCCAAACTAACTTAATTATCTTCACAACAGCAAGGTATTTTAGCAGGTAACTCCCTTGGCGTCACTGAGGCAAGCTTAAAAGAAGGGTGTGGCTCCATGCTATCCTTTCTCCAGTGGCTGCAGCACTTGAGGAGAAATTTAGAAAATATTTGTGGCTGCTTTGAAACCCTGTTCCTTCCACCGATCTGTTTTAGCCCGGTCTCACGCCCGGCCGAATTGGCATGGTGAGAAGTTCCCGTCTGCAGGGTGGGAACATGACGTGCAGGGCAGGATTCACCCAGCCGGGCTTTCCTTTCCTGCCAAACTGTAAGAGGGAGCCATTCCTTCGTGCACATGGCAGCTGAGAGCACGTGGGCATGGTCATTTTAGCTGGTACAAGGCCAGAAAATACATCTGATTTTTGTACATTTAAAAGAGTAGTCTCTACATTCAAGGGAGGGCAACTGGACCAGAGCAAAACACACCAAAGCATTGCACTGCGGTTTGAAAGAGGCTTTAGAATTGCTCAGTCCATGCTGACTCCCCAGAGTTATGGGGGGACTGAAGACGACATGAACGTGAGGGATTTTGGAGAGCGTAGTCCAAGTGTGTTTGTGAGCATTGTCCTGAACTCCCATGGGAAGGTCCTGAGGAGCCCTCCCAGAGCTGGAGGGGAGCCCTTGGTGTGCACAAGAGCAGGTTTTGCCCCAGAGTCCCCAAGGAGTGCTCCTCACCCTGGGCATGGGCAAGAGGGAACATCCATGGGGGTTTGTCCTCTCTGCATCTCACACGGGGTGTCCGTCCTCCAGCTACTCTGCTCCCAGCAGAGGCACAGAGCTTCCCAAGTGATTATTTGCAAAAGGGAGAAAGAAGACAACCCACTAAAGCTTTGCCTTCCCTCTGCCAAACCAAGCTGCAGAGACTGGCGAGCGACCTCAGACGATGTCTCATAACAGATTCAAGAAAACGGGAAAAAAAGGAAAAATTTCTGAAAGAAAAGGGTCCAACTTGATGTGCTGCTGCAGCAGAGGGAAGAATGCCTGGAGCCGGTTCCTCCAGCAGCATAGATTTCCCAGAGGAAAGGATGCTGTTGGGCTCTTTAGCTCCTGCAAGATTTAAGGCCCTGAGGACTGAAGTCAATACAATAATTTCCCTGAGCTGGGAAACCTCACAAGATATATTGAAGAAAAGCAAGTACTGCAGCAGCAGAAGCCATACATCTCCTCTTCTATGGCACCCACCTAGTAAGTAGCACCTTCTCCCCCCTCTTTCACCTGCCTCCTTGTTATATCCCTTTCAAAAAATTCACCAGGTACAGAAATCAGCAGAGCTGTGAACACACAAAGCTGCCTTAAAAGCTGCACTCCTGCCCGGCTCCAAGCTATTTAACTTGAACAACAAACAAACAAAAGCCCCCAAATAGCCGCTGCAGGTCTCTCCAGGGAGCAAAGCATTAGATGGCATTTCCTCAAATTAGGAGGAGATGTGTGAGCTACCCAAGGACGCTGGTATAATGGGATGTGGAAGGCACTGATGAAGCCTATTTTCCATGCTGTGGCACTTTTAAGAGAGTAGCAATTGAAGCAGCAAGCAGCCTAGGCTAACTGACACTTCATATTTTTAGTGAACAGTTGTATTATAATGCCATTTAGAAGTTCCATTCAAGAAGAGGATTTCTCCACGTCAGATAGAGTGAAACACAAAGTAGAGAGCTCTCCAATGAACGTCAGCCCTATTTCACAGGTGTGCATCACACTGGGGGTTTGTATGAGCACTGGGCTCCTTCTTGCTCCCTGGTTTTATAAAGAAAAATCTTGGCTTAATGCACTAGGGATCAAACAGTATCAGCCTGCATACAGTCTTGGGCATCAGATAGA